CAGCATTTAATGATATGCAACGGAATGTGCGCTTTAGTAAACGTTGACATGAAATATTCGTTGCAAGTTTCTCGCAACGCCAAGCTTCCCGGTTCAGTTATGCACCGTGCAATCCACGAGTCTATTTAATCTTGATTTCGGATTCACTACAAAATTCTGATATACCGAGGCAACCACGTCAGACTGTGTAAGACTTCATCGACAGGGGTTCCTATGTCTAAAATACCGAACGAAATGAAATGAACTAAAACGAGAAAATACAAAATTAACCCACTCTACTCGGCGTATCTGTGATTAGCGCTCATGATAATGTCCTCACGAAATCACGCGATCGCCTGGGGTTTTAGCCAGAACATGCAAATGACTTCCGTGAGGGTAAGCAACGTGTGATCAATAAGTAAATGATGATTCTAGCTTAAACCCTGATCCTACATTTTTGAACGGACGTATATATATATATATATATATATATATATATATATATATATATATATATATATATATATATATATATATATATATACACACACACACACACACACACACACACACACACACACACACACACACACACATATATATATATATATATATATATATATATATATATATATATATATAATTTATATATACTGCTGGAACCACCGAGCGAAAGAGATAGACAGGCATACAGACAGAAAAACAGACAGACTGAGAGATAGACAGGTAGACAGACAAACAGACATAAAGATTGAGAGGCAGTTTGATAGACAGAGAGACGTGCAAGTCTTTGTCTTTGTTGTTTCTCTGCCTCTCACTTTATTCTTGTCTTTCTTCCCTTTTTTTTTTCCTTTCTCTTCATTTGTGTTTTTCTTTTTAATCAAAATCAAAATCGAATCAAAATTGCCGATCGAACGAATAACTTTTTACGTATGCCTACCATCTCACATCGGATCACTGATCTATTAGGCGATTTACGCAACTCTAGCACCCCTAGGCACTTTGATGAGGAGAGGATGCCAACGCTATATTCAAATAAAAAATTTATAAAAAAAAAAAAAGAAATCAAGTTAAATACGATTTCCATCCTAGGCCCGATAAAGAGTGTCACCCTTAAGCAATGTAAAGGCACTACGCCTATCCCTATTTTTAAACAACGACAAACAACCAAATAACGGGAAAAGTAAGTATGTCAACTCATGGCTCTCTCCACGTGCACGAGCGGTCAGGAGGAAGAGTGAAGTGAAGAGTGATGAGAGAGGGAGAGAGGGAGAGAGGGAGAGAGGGAGAGAGGGAGAGAGGGAGAGAGGGAGAGAGAGAGAGAGAGAGAGAGAGAGAGAGAGAGAGAGAGAGAGAGAGAGAGAGAGAGAGAGAGAGAGAGAGAGAGACAGACAGACACACACACACATACAGAGAGAGAGAGAGAGAGAGAGAGAGAGAGAGAGAGAGAGAGAGAGAGAGAGAGAGAGAGAAATACAGAGAGAGGGGGGCGGGGTATTTTATCCCAAGATATACATCAAATGTAGTCACCTTTTAAGTGTACATTTAGAGGCGAGAGAGGGAGGTCAGGTTTAGGCGAGGAGTTGAGCTGTCAACAAGCGTAAAAATAAATGCCCTTGATAAAGATGAACGAAATTAGTAAGAGAGTGAAACAAAGATTAAAAGCGAGTGAATTTTCAACAGTTAATCAACGAAACACGCACGAGAAGAGAATGAAATCACTCAACAAAATAACAATGAGTTCATTATCTCTATGAGAGAAAATCACGGACGCGTTGAATTCGTTGTAAGTAAAACAATATAAGAATCTAAAAACGAGAGAAATGAACTAACTATTTAATAAACGATATTTTGCGTCTGTTGAGAGAGAGACTGAGAACGCTATTTCTTGCCACAGAATTTTCCGTACTTAACGTTTTTTTTTTACATTTGACACTTTTACCCAGCTAAACCAACGTGAGAGTGACTGCACCTATATTTTATACGACTGAACACTTATGGGAGAAGAAAGGAGGGAAGAGAAATGAAAAGGCCATTAACGTGTACTCACATGGTTTTGTAGACATGTTTGACGATCGAAGATGTGTTTGTTTTTGTTGCCGCAAAAAAAAAAGAAAGAAAGAAAAAAAAAAAAAAACCCTGCTGTGACCAGATTGCAAAAGGTAAAGATGCCGTAAAAGGATGGGACTATTGGTTAGCAAAGAGAGTACGCCTTGGCCCTTTGTTGCTGAGAGAATTCAACACAATGAAATCAACGCACGATGGATAGTCTTTGAACAAGCGCAGATACGGATAAGGATAAGTCCGATATGCGAAGTTGAGCCTCGCCCGGGCTATGGCCATGAGGGGAGCCCGGCTGTGTCGACTAATGCCGATTCGCTAATGTGTGTTTGTCCTTACCCGCCGTGGTGCCCAGCCACAGCAGTAACCTCCAGGCGACAATTGCAACTTCTCTCGCCTGGGCGGGGCGCGAACCGCCGACCCCTCGGATGAGAGGCCGACAAGTTACTACTGTACTAGCCTGGAGGCTAACAAGCGCAGAGGCCGAAGGAAGGTCTTGACCAATCGAAGACGAGGCTCGTTTCTGAAGAGCATAAACGAGCCATAAACATCTTGGTTTTCGCTGGTTGTAGAACCAACGTGGAGCCCTCGTGGAGCCTGGCTTGGCTTGAGGTGGTGTGACTGGCATTTTATGCTTGGGTGTTTATTAGTCCGCCATACACACGCTAACAGTCTTGATATCGCGCAGAATCTTTTCGCCGAGATTTTTTTTCTTCAAAAGTTTGTGTCAAAATCAAAACCTACCTGTCTTCTCTGACAACTAAGGTGCACTCTATACACTTACTGCATTTAGTCCAGGAAACATGGTAACGAGGAATATCCTACACCAAATTAGTAGCCTATAAGAGCAGGCAATATAAATGTGACTGTACTTTACACCCTTTCATATAGGAATATCAACCTGCGACAAGGTAGATCAGTTAGCAATACTAGCACTTTCCCGTGAAGAACCATACTATGCAGTACCATTATCTCTCAAACAATTGAAAAAAAATCGTGTTTTCCGCTGTCTTCGAGATTACGTGGACCAGGTATGGACAACCAAAAAACTGAAGAAAAATGGACAGAGTGCTATCTGGCATTATGAAAGTATTGCAGGGACTTCTGGGAGGGAGAGGGAGGGTATAGGGAGGGAGGGAGAGAGAGAGAGACAGAGAGAGACAGAAAGAGAGAGAGAGGAAAAAAGAGAGAGAGAGAGAGAGAGGTAGAGATAGATAGAGAGGGAGAGAGCGTATGTGTTATGTAAGACAGTGCTGGTGGGAGGGGGGGGGGGTCTGTTGTGTAGTCTGTTTGTATAGGAGTCTGTATGTATGCTTGTGTGTATGTTTGTTTGGTCTTGGTTTCGTTCTTTATTTGTTCGTCTGTTTGTCTACATACCTACACACACACATACACACAGACGCATATGTATTAACGTATATATACATATACATATACATAGATCAGGCATTATGAAACAAACAAAAAAATAAAATGCTAACGACAATTTGATGACGAGCCCGAGAGACTGAGGATGTTAGCTGTGTCTCAAAAGGCATTAAATGTTGACACGTCGATCATCAGCGGAAATCTCTGTCTCTCTCTCTCTCTCTATTTCTGTATCTCTCTCTCTCTCTCTCTCTCTCTCTCTCTCTCTCTATTTTTGTATCTCTCTCTCTCTCTCTATTTTTGTATCTCTCTCTCTCTCTCTCTTTTTCTGTATCTCGATCTCATTCTCTCTCTCACTCTCTCTCTCTCTCTCTCTCTTTGTCTCCGTCTCTCTCGTTCTCTTTTCTCTCTTTAATGACCTCTCCCCTCTACTCACCCTCGACTTCTCACGGTACCAGCAGTCTACTGGTCATCGCCTGTGCCAACTTTGACCTGCGCTCAGAACGGAACGACATTGATGAAGTGCCCCCAGAGCAAGCTATTCCGACCTTTAACTACATGTAAACTTATAAATTGATTATACTCAATATGTTCGAAAATCCTTATTCTGAATCACTATGTTTGTAATCTTTTATTGACGATACTGTAGTTATCAAATGTTCACGATTTAATTGTACTAACATACCCAGTGTCCCCGTCCAAACATGTGACCACAGGAATCTAACACTGCCATAAAACAGAAAATCTGCACTGACACTCCCACTCAAGGTGAATATTTTCCATGTCCTTATGTTTAGTGAAAATGCCAAACTTTCTCGTACAAAAGCGACCTTAAGATCACCTCAAAAACTCAAAGCCGAAGTCACTCAGCATCGGCTCGGTCGACACCTCAAAGTCACACAGACCGCTCGCCCTCGCGGGTGTGGCAAGACGCTCCACTTCTCCTTGGGTGTCGCTGCCACGCCTGTCGTCTGTACTTCAGCTACCATAATCCAGCAGGAATGAAGCTTAGAATCTGTTTAGAACTTGCGACAACTTTAACTACAACACTCTCAAGAAATGAACCAGTGCCATCAAAGAGGAACGCGAACTCACCACAACATTACATTGCTGACAAACTAGTGGAACACACCTGCTATTTACACTTTCTCTCTCTCTCTCACACACACACTCTCTTTCTCTCTCTCTTTCTGTATCTCGATCTCACTCTAACTCTCTCTCTTCCGATTTCTGTCATGTTATCTCTCTCTCTCTCTCTCTCTCTCTCTCTCTCTCTCTCTCTCTCTCTCTCTCTCTCTCTCTCTCTCTCTCTCTTACTTTCATTTCTTCTTTCTCTTCGCTTTTATCCTTCCTTATTATTCTCCTTCCTTTCTATTTTCCTCCCACATTCGTTTATTTTCCTTTATTTCCATATATCGATGGACAAGTCAAGAAATGATTCGACAGGTAAATTAAACAAAACAAACAGACTAACATAAACAAAGAAACTTACACATATCAACATTTTTTTTCTTCTCTTCAATCAAATCAGTGACACACGGCACTACATAGACGAGTAAATAAACACCCTTAATGAATAACTGGTAACTCACCTGGGCACGTATATAACGCCGTCCGGAGCCTCGATGCCGACAGAATCATGGGCGTTGTGCTGGAGGCGCTGCAGAGACAAGGCCCCCTGGGGTATCACGCCGCCCTTCGCTGGCAACACTGATTCTCTGTAGATCTGTCGCTTCTGGGAAGAGAAAGGGGGATGGGTGTTAGGGGAGGGTGGAAAGAGGGAGGATAGGGGAGGGTTGAAAGAAGGAGGGATAAAGGGAGGGAGAGGAAGAAAAAGGAGGGAGGGAGAGGAAGGACAAGAGAGAGAGAGAGAGAAAGAGAGAGAGAGAGAGAGAGAGAGAGAGAGAGAGAGAGAGAGAGAGAGAGAGGGAGAGAGAGAGAGAGAGAGAGAGAGAGAGAGAGAGGGCAAGGACAGAGAAGAGAGGGAGAGGAAGAAATTAATTTGACGGCGAATGAAAAGGAGAGAGAGAGAGAGAGAGAGAGAAGGGGTGAAAAGAAGAGAGAGAACAACGGTTAATTACATAACTATTCCTTTTTTAATATTTCTGAACAAAATAACAACACGATTAAAACCAGTTCATTCCAGAAATAGATAAATCAAACTCATTAATTATTCACACTTGACGCATTTGTTCAAATCTGCACACTTTCTCCCGATAAGATGTTCTTTACCTCCTTTACGTTCACTTCAGTGTTCTTCTTTTACTCATTTTCCTCACTCCTCCTTCAGTATCTCACTTACCTCATTCGCCTCACCCTCCCTCCTTATCATTTACCTTTATTTTACTCATTTTCTTTCCAGTACCTCATTCGCCTCATTTTGTTCAATCTTCTTCCACTCATTACCTCATTCTCCTCACTCATTCGCCTCATTCTGCTGAATCTCTC